GAGCTCCTCACGTGTCCTGCCCTGGGCCACAGAGTCAGGCCGTGGGTCAGGGCCGTGGCAGTGCTGGCTCCTGTGTCCGCACGTGGAGTGTGTCCATCCCCTCCTTCCTTCTCGGGAGACTGGAAGTCCCTCCTCCCCGCTCTGCCCCTCTCTAATAAGCCTTATGACACTTATCACACCTTCACGGGGAAAAGTAGCATAATCTTGGGGCCGGCACCGTGGCTCACTGGCTAATCCTCCGCCTGCAGCACCGGCATCCCATATGGGCGCCGGATTCTGTCCCGGTTGCCCCTCTTCCAGGCCAGCTCTCTGCTGTGGCCCGGGAAGGCAGTGGAGGATGGCCCAAGTGCCTGGGCCCTCCACCCGCATGGGAGACCAGGAGGGGGCACTTGGCTCCTGGCTTTGGATTGGCACAGCTCTGGCCGTAGCGGCCATTTTGGGGGTGAACCAACGGAAGGAAGACCTTTCTCTCTGTTTCTTACTAACTCTGCCTGTCAAAAAAAAAAAAAAAAGTAGCATAATCTTGTTATTGAAAATATTAAGAAAACAAGAGAAAGCCCCCGATAAATCCGACCACTTGCGTCCTTCTGATGTGCTGACTACAGTGTCCCTGTGTGACCTGTATGGCCCTGGCCCCGCCCCCACAGTCAGAGAAGAGGGTAGCCGTGAGGGTGCTTGGACCCCGTGGGGGTCTGGTCGGGTGGCACATGGGTGCTTCAGCCTGCTTGTGGGGGAATGGGAATTAGAAGGTGAACTTATTTCTGTGCAAAAAAAATAAAAACAAAAACATAGAAATCTATGCAGATTGAGGGGTCTTAAGTTCGTGAAAAATGTATTACCACAAAGCTAGGCATGGATTTTTTTTAAAGATTTGTGTATTTTATTTGAAAGGCAGAGTTAACAGGGTGGGGGGGACAGAGCTCTTCCACCCGCTGGCTCACCCACCAGATGGCCGCAGCAGCCAGGGCTGGGCCAGGCTGAAGCCAGGAGGAGCCAGGAGCTCCAGCAGGGTCTCCCCCACGGGTGACAGGGACCCAAGCGCTTGAGCCGTCCTCTGCTGCTTTCCCAGGCTTGTTGGAAGGGAACTCGAGTGGAAGTGGAGCAGCCGGGACTTGAACCCACGCTCACAGGGGCTGCTGGTGTCCCAGGCAGCAGCTTAACCCGCTGTGCCCAGCACTGGCCCTCCTCTGATTCCGTTGTGCCCCTTGGGCGTGAGGGGGTTTTCAGCTGGTGCGGGGCAGATCTTGCCGTGTCCTTGGTGTTCCTCTTGTTCTTGCTGGCGTGTCGGGACGTGCAGGCGTCCCGCGTGCTGTGTGTGCCGTGCGCGGGGCCCCTCCGGGAGCGCCTGCCCTTTGCGTGTCGGAACGTGCAGGCGTCCCGCGTGCTGTGTGTGCTGTGCGTGGGGCCCCTCCGGGAACGCCTGCCCTTTGCGTGTCGGGACGTGCAGGCGTGCCGCGTGTGCCGTGCGCGGGGCCCCTCCGGGAACGCCTGCCCTTTGCGTGTCGGGACGTGCAGGCGTCCCGCGTGTGCCGTGCGCAGGGCCCCTCCGGGAGCGCCTGCCCTTTGCGTGTCGGAACGTGCAGGCGTCCCGCGTCCCGCGTGTGCCGTGCGCGGGGCCCCTCCGGGAGCGCCTGCCCTTTGCGTGTCTGGACATGCAGGCGTCCCATGTGTGCTGTGCGTGGGGCCCCTCCGGGAGCGCCTGCCCTTTTCGTGTCTGGACGTGCAGGCGTCCCACGTGTGCTGTGCGTGGGGCCCCTCCGGGAGCGCCTGCCCTTTGCGTGTCGGAACGTGCAGGCGTCCCACGTCCCGCGTGTGCCGTGCGCGGGGCCCCTCTGGGAGCGCCTGCCCTTTGCGTGTTGGGACGTGCAGGCGTCCCGCGTGTGTTGTGCGTGGGGCCCCTCCGGGAGCGCCTGCCCTTTGCGTGTCGGAACGTGCAGGCGTCCCGCGTGTGCCATGCGCGGGGCCCCTCCGGGAGCGCCTGCCCTTTGCGTGTCGGGACGTGCAGGCGTCCCGCGTCCCGCGTGTGCTGTGCGTGGGGCCCCTCCGGGAGCGCCTGCCCTTTGCGTGTTGGAACGTGCAGGCGTCCCGCGTGTGCTGTGCGTGGGGCCCCTCCGGGAGCGCCTGCCCTTCTTCCTGCTGTGTGTGGGAATCTGCCCTCCCGGGAGGGTGTTCGTGAGTGTGTGGTCCCCTGCTGGTGACATCTGTGATCACAGCCACGCGCAGCCCCTGCTCACAGGAGTCCTGCAGCGCTGTCTCAGAGCTGGGCTGCACTGGGCCTCCTGGTGCCAGATGGCAGCAGGTGGTCATGGGGAGTGACCTGTCATGGTGCCCTCTCTCCGGCCCACCGCCTCCTGGAAGCCCAGGGTGATTTCCCACTGTGGCAGAGGGGCCCTGAGGCTGAAGTGGCTGTGGCTGAGCACCAGCCTCTGGGGTGCCATCCTCGCTGGGCCCTGCCTTGCTGTTAAGTTGGGATAATGCGTTTGTCCAGCCTGCATGTATTGAGTGCCTGCTGTATGCCCTGGGATCTACTGGTGATTAAGGCCAGGCTGTGCCTCCCGGAGGCCTTTGTGCAGTGCGTGGATGGGAGGACTCTGACTGGGGGTAAGGGGCCACTGTGGTGGGCAGAGAGGGCCTAGGGGCACGCTGAATGACGGTCAGGAAGGGCTCTCTGGAGAGAACATTTGACTGAAGCTGGAAGGAGCCTCCTGTGCAGAGGCCCGGAGAAGGAAACTGGAGGTTGCGGGGCGGGTGCAGGAGTGTGCCCTGTGGTCCCCGGGCAGGTGCAGGAGTGTGCCCTCTGGTCCCCGGGCAGGTGCAGGAGTGTGCCCGGTGGTCCCCCAGCAGGTGCAGGAGTGTGTGCCCTGTGGTCCCCCAGCAGGTGCGGGGTGTGTGCCCGGTGGTCCCCCAGCAGGTGCAGGTGTGTGCCCTGTGGTCCCCGGGCAGGTGCAGGAGTGTGGCTGGTGGTCCCCCAGCAGGTACAGGAGTGTGGCTGGTGGTCCCCCGGGCAGGTGCGGGGTGTGTGCCCTGTGGTCCCCCAGCAGGTGCGGGGTGTGTGCCCTGTGGTCCCCCAGCAGGTGCGGGGTGTGTGCCCGGTGGTCCCCCCGGCTGTGAGTTTTGACTGGAGTACCTATGGGCGGGGCCACCATGGGGCCTGGTACGCTGTACGTGTGCCCTGGCGCTGTGCCCCTTGACCCGCAGGTGGGTGGGGGCCCCTGCCTCCCTCCCTCCCGGCAGCCCCTGCCAGGCAGTTGGGTTAATGATCTGGTGCCCTTCTCTCAGCAGGCTGCTGGGGCGGGGTCTGCTGCATGGGGGAATCCGGAGACCTGAGGGCCTGGTCGGCTCGAGCTCTGAGGGCCGGGGCTCGCGCTTTAGCCTCTTGGGAGCCACGCGTTTCTTCCGTGCGCTGGGCAGTGAGCATCTGAGGAGGCGCATGGGCAGAGCTTTGCTGGAGCTCTGCCTACGACAGACAGCAAACCGCGGCTGTCGGTGCTGTTGTCCTTGTCCTCACGGCCACCGCCTGGCTGACCTGGCTTCCGCGTGTCACTCCTTCCACTACTTCTGGGGGGGAGGGCGCAGTGCTTGAGAGCTCCTGCCTCACTGTGCCAGGCGTGGGTGTGAGTCCCGGGCCCCTGCAGCCTCGGGGGGCCGAGCAGCAGCCCTGGGTGCGCCTGGCCGGAAGGCCCCTGTCCAGGGAAGGGAAGGGGTGCTTGGCAGAGCCGGCTGCGCCTGGGAGCGGCCGCAGCACCCTTGCCTGGTTTTACAGGGGCCCGTGGCAGACACGGGGCAGGGTTTTGGACATGAGGCTGTGGACGCTGCTGGTGGACAGCGCACGGTCCATCCTCCCAGTAGCCCCTGAGGCTGATGAGGCTCCTGCCCCAGCCCCTCTTTCTCTCCCACTGCTGGAGCAGCAGAGCTGGGTGGGCATGGGAGTGAGTGGGCAGCTGTTGGCCGGCAGAGGGTCAGAGGGCTGAGGTCAGCCTGGCCCCGAGCCCGTGTTCTTTGGTTAGTGGTGTCACTGGGGCTTCCCCGCCGTGACTCAGCCCGATGGCCGGTCCCCAGGAGGTCACGTCCTAGTGGTGTGGGGCCCCTGAGCTACCTTGAGGCAGGGGCCCAGCAGGGAAGCCCTGGGTCAGTGAATGGACTTGGAAGCTGGTTGGATTGGCCAGGAAGGGAGGGAGCTGAGGCCGCTGACCCTCCCTCCGTTGATCCGCATCCACCTGGGGGAAGCCGCGGGCAGCTGCGTCACCCAGTAAAGTGGAGCGGGGTGGGGCCCCAGCGCGCGTCTCCAGAGCCGGGCTTGGCTGCCCTGTGGAAGGTTACAAGCATCTTCACTGGGAAGAAATGGCGTCCGCAGTGAGGAGGAGCTGCCGCCGGCCGGCTGAGCGTGAATGGGCGGGCGCAGGGCCGGGGTCCGTGTCTCCCGCCTGCCCGTGGAGACTGGCTGCAAAGGGGCAGCTGTTCCTTTAAGTGGGACTCTCCGTGGGAACTGCGGCAGCCTGAGGGGAGGAGGGAGGGATGCCCGCAGAGGGTGGTTCCTGCCGGGTTCTGGGGATCTGGGGATCTGCCCCCCATGCTCGGGGATCTGAGGATCTGCCCCCATGCTCGGGGATCTGAGGATCTGCCCCCATGCTCGGGGATCTGAGGATCTGCCCCCATGCTCGGGGATCTGAGGATCTGCCCCCCTCTGCACACCTTCCCTGAGGGTGGTGCCTGCCCCGGCTGCCCCGGGATCTGAGGATCTCCCCCACCACCGGGGGTCTGAGGACCCCCCCCCCCCCCCCCCCGGCACAGCCTTCCCTGCGTCTCCTTGGGTGTCTCCCCTCCCATCGAAGCTGCTGATTCATCCGCCTGCTGGAGCCGGGCTGGGTGGTGGGGGTGGGGCTGCTGCCGAGGGGTCCTCTGGCCTCTGGGTGTGGGGGAGGAGCTGGGCAGCCCAGAGCCCTGTCCTCAGGTGAGGAGCGGCGGCTCCCGCCCTCACGGCCTCCCGCTGGGCCCCGCAGGCTGTCTGAAGGATGACCGCATCGTCTTCTGGACCTGGATGTTCTCCACCTACTTCATGGAGAAGTGGGCCCCCCGGCAGGACGACATGCTCTTCTACGTGCGCCGGAAGCTGGCGTACGCGGGCAGCGAGAGCAGCCTGGACGGCAGGAAGGTGAGCGCCCCTCCCGCCCGGCCCCCGCGGCGGTCCCCGGCGCCTGCCCTGTCCCGGAACCCGGCCCTGAAGGGCAGCGCACATCAGCCCCACCCCAGCCCCCGCTGGTCTTGCCGGGAGCTGAGGCTCACGGGCTGGGGGTAAGTGGGTGGTAGAGCAGAGGGGGGACGCTGGGGCCCAGGCCTCCCCGGCCTTGCAGGGCGGCCGGCTGGGCAGCGCGCTCTCCACTGACACCCTGCCCGGTTCCAGGTCCTTGTCCCTTTCTCACAGGTGAGGGGACGAGGGCGCAGAGGTGGACCCGAGCGTGGGGTCAATCGTGAGGGTGCAGAGGTGGACCTGAGCGTGGGGTCAGTCACACAAAGTCCGCAGGCTTCCTCCTCTCTTTGCAGAAGCCCTAGCAGGCTGTAAAATGGTTAGGCCACCTCTGCCACACCCTCTAGAAACCAAACACTGGTGGGGGGTGGGGGCTGTGGAGTCAGGGCCCTGTGACCCAGCCCCGTGGTTTGTCCACTGGGACTCCTTCCCTGCCACATGCCCGCGCTGGAGTGCCTGCTGCAAAGGGGGCGGCGGCCACCTCCCTTCCAGGCCGGCCCTTGCGTGCAGCCCCAGCCACTGGCCAGACAGGAGAGGGCGGGGGCTTGGGGAAGTGGGTGTGGCCGGAGGGGCTCCCTGGAATCTGAGGAGGAGGGTGCCCAGGCCTAGCCCTGCCGTTCTGGGGGTGGGTGGGTGGGCACTGGAGCCGCCCAGGCAGGGAGGGAGGGGTGCCGAGGAGGCGCAGGTGCTGTGTGGGATCCTGAGCCGAGCACCCCGTGGAGCCTGGCCAGGGCCTTGGTGCCGCCTGTCTGGGCGTGCAGTCGGACACAGCGTTCCAGGCCAGCTTTGTCCCGGCAGCGAGCTCCGTGACGCTGTCAGTCATCGCCTCTCTGGGGCTCAGCTTCCCCCCCACCATGGGGCGCCCCCTCACGGACACGCAGTACGGGGATGTGTGCACGCCCTTGGGAGAAAGGTGGCTGGTGCCCGGGGACCTCCCCTGCCCGTGACCCCGTGCGGGCACGTCTGCTCTCATGTCAGCCCGGTTCTGCGGTGGGGGCCGCACGCTGAGGCCGGCAGGGCTGCTGCCTGCCGAGGGGGAGCCGCCAGGAGGTGCCGGGCTGCGGGCACACCCTCCACCCAGCCACTCGGGCTCAGCCCCTGCCGGAGACCAGGTCAAGACCCTTGTGTGGCAGAGTGAGGACTTTTCCCCGAGGTGGGGTCTGTGGGGAGAGGATGGAGCGCAGGACAGGCACTTGGTCCAGGAGGGTCACAGCCCTGGCCAGGAGGGAGAGGACAGCCAGGATCGGGGGAGGAACGGCAGACAGCGGCTCCTGCGTGCGGGGCAGACCTGGGGAAGGTGGGGCCGTCCTCAGGAGGCACCAGTGCCATGGTGGGGAGGGCAGCCGTGGTCTGAGGACACCATGGGCCGCAAGGGCACTGCCAGACACATAGACACATGGGACAGCGCCAGCGTGGTGCCCTGCTGCACTGAGCCCACGTGGCGATGTCCTGCCGAGTGGGCAGGGCCCCTGGCCACCTTACTTGGCATTTTTTCCAGCTCCCCTGGCGCAGTGTGGAGGGCAGCCTGCAGGGGGCGTGCTGGAGGCAGAGCGGGGAGAGGCGGAGGCCAGCGCCGGGCTGATGGGGCGGGGACAGTGGTGCCTGCGCACAGTGAGGCCTCTGCAGCAAGGCAGCAAGCCCCTCCCCCTCCCCATCCTGGGCATCTGATCACCATGGCAACCAGTGCCTCGCAGAGGAGGGAGGACGGGCAGGGTCTGGAGCCACAGTGTGGTGAGCAGAGGAGACGGCACCTGCCCCATGGACAGAACGCCCACTGCTCCCTGGCAGCCCATCTTCTTGGTAGCTGGGGACCTGGCACGTTTGGGGCCTGCTCTGTGCTGGTGGCCCAGGCTGTGTGCACTGTCACTTACCCTGAGGTCTCACACTCCTGGGGTACGGCTTTTCTGGCCCCAGGCTCTCAGAAGACCGCAGCTCCGAGACGGGCGGGATCGTGCCCTGGGTCACCAGCATCCCCGCCGTGCTGCTGCGCTCCGGTCTTTGCTTTGCTTTCTTCTCCGGTAGAATTGCCTTTAAAAAATTTTTTTAAGATTTTATTTATTTGAAAGGTAGCGTTAACATGCAGAGAGAGAGGTCTTCCATCCACTGGTTCACTCCCCAGATGGTTGCAACAGCCGAAGCTAAGCTGATCCGAAACCAGGAGCCAGGAGCTTCTTCCGGGTCTCCCTGGTGGGTGCAGGGGCCCAAGGGCTTGGCCCGTCTTCTACTGCTTTCCCAGGCCACAGCAGAGAGCTGGATCGGAAGTGGAGCAGCCGGGACATAAACTGGCGCCCGTTTGGGATGCAGCGCCTACTATGCCACAGCGCGAGCCCCAGCCTTTTTTTAAATTTTATGATTCATTTGAAAGGCAGAATTAAGAGGAAGAGATAGATTGAGATCTTCCATCTGCTGGTTTACTCCCCAGATGGCCACAAGGCACTTGGGCCACCTCCGCTGCTTTCCCAGGCCATTCGCAGGGAGCTGGATCGAAGCAGAGCATATGGGATGCTGGTGTCGTGGGTGGCGGCTTAACTCGCTGTACCACAGGGCCGGCCCCTGTTGGGTGGAGTTTCTTCACTTGAATGTACATGTAGAAAAATGCACATGGCTGGCGCTGTGGCGTAACAGGTTAAGCCGTCACCTGCGATGCTGGCTTCCCCTACGGGTGCCGGTTCAAGTCCTGGCTGCTCCACTTCCAGTCCAGCTCCCTGCTGATGTGCCTGGGAAAGCAGCAGAAGATGGCCCAAGTGCTTGGGCCCCTGCACCCACATAGGAGACCGGGAAGACGTTTCAGGCTCTTGGCACAGCCCTGGCCGTTGCAGCCATCTGGGGAGTGAACCAGTGGATGGAAAACCTCCTTCTGTCTCTTCCCTCTCTAACTCTGCCTTTCGAATAAAAAATAAGTCTAAGAAAAATGCACAAACGGGTGTACAACTTGATGATTTTTCTCTGTGTGAGGACCTGGTGCCACCAGCCCCCAGATCAATAAACCAGAACCCCCGAGGCTCTGGGCCCCTGCCTGTCCCTGCAGGCCTGCACGTGAGGGGCACGGCTGGGGCCCCGCATCTGCGCTCCCTCTCCACAGTGCAGTTGAGAGAGTGACGCTGCTGACGCGGGGGCTGTGACTTGTGCAGGTCACTGGTGGCCGTGTGCTGCAGCTGTCTGTGCGTCCCGGGAGCACACGCAGGCACAGCGCCGATGGGGAACCGCTCCTGCGACTCTCCAGTGTACCCTGGAGCCACCCCGAAGGCTGTCGCCCGGCTCCTCCCATGCACTTGTCATTTGTGCAGTTTTGTGGAAGGCCCACCTGCTCCCTGCCTTTCTGGAGCCGTGTTCTCTGGGAGACCAAACAAGATGATAGCAGATACCAAGGAGTGGGAGACAAGCAAAGCAAACAGGGCAGTGCGGGGAGCCAGGGCACAGCGGTCCTGCGGGCTGGGGTCCCTCTGCTGGGCCCTGGCTGGGGAGTGGGAGTGGAAGCCATGCCCCTGAGGGACGTCTCCCACTCTGAGGCAGGGTTACCCTCCTGCTCCTCTCCCTGGGGCTCCCACTCTGCCTCTGGGGTGCACGGTTCATGCACCTGTGGGAGATGCCAGCATGGTTGGCGGGGTGTGGCCACCACCCCCAGGCCTCCAGCCCAGACAGGCTGTGTCAGATCTGACTTTTTTTTTTTTTTTTTTTTTTTTTTGACAGGCAGAGTTAGACAGTGAGAGAGACAGAGAGAAAGTTCTTCCTTCCATTGGTTCACCCCCCAAATGGCTGCTACGGCCTGTGCTACGCCGATCCGAAGCCAGGAGCCAGGTGCTTCCTCCTGGTCTCCCATGGGGTGCAGGGCCCAAGCACTTGGGCCATCCTCCACTGCACTGCCCCCCGCCCCCGCCCTCCTGGGCCACAGCAGAGAGCTGGCCTGGAGGAGGGGCAACCGGGACAGAATCTGGCGCCCCGACCGGGACTAGAACCCGGTGTGCTGGCGCCGCAAGGCGGAGGATTAGCCTAGTGAGCCGCGGCGCCGGCCTCCCCATTGCTTTTCCTTGAAGCCAGGCCAAGTGATGGCACGTGTCCACAGCGCACCCCTCTCATTGCTGGGCAGATCCCTGAATAATTCACCGGGGTGGGACACTTCGGTTTTTTCCAGTTCTTGGCCACTATGAACAGAGCCATGATGGACATCGGGGTACGGGGGTTCCCATGAACGTGGCCAGCACAAGCAAGACGTGGTCTGCCCCAGCATCGAAGAAGCCTTGCGGGGCACTGCGTTGCCCAGAACCACCACCCCACTGACTTTGTGCAGAACTCACCACGCGGGGTGATCGCACCACTTGCGCCACGTACGTTCGCTGCTGCAGCAGTCGAGCTGTGGTGCGCCCTGACAGTAACATCGGGAACTTGAATGCCCGTGGTCTGCTTTTGACTTTCCTTAACTGAGTCTTTCCTCCCGAGAAAGGTGAGGACGGATGCTCGGGTCCCTCCTTGAGTTTGTTTGTTAACTGATGAGTTCTCTCCTCGGGTCGGCACTTGGCACGGCGTTTCCCGCTGCTTGGAAGGTCGCATCCCGCGTTGGGGCGCTCGGGTGCACGACCCGGCTGCACCCCGATTCCAGCTTCCTGTGCTTGGGTCCTGCCACCATGTGGGAGACCCACCTGGGGTTCCTGGCTCCTGGCTGTTGCCGGCAGTGGGGAGTGAACCAGTGGATGGAAGAGCTCTCCGCCATCCTTTTCCATCTCTCTGCCTTTCAAATGCATTTTAAAAAATTAAATTAAAAATAAGTGAGTGGCCGGCGCCGCGGCTCACTAGGCTAATCCTCTGCCTGCGGCGCTGGCACACCAGGTTCTAGTCCCAGTCGGGGCGCTGGATTCTGTCCCGGTTGCCCCTCTTCCAGGCCAGCTCTCTGCTGTGGCCCGGGAGTGCAGTGGAGGATGGCCCAAGTGCTTGGGCCCTGCACCCCATGGGAGACCAGGAGAAGCACCTGGCTCCTGGCTCCTGCCATCGGATCGGCGCGGTGTGCCAGCCGCAGCGCACCGGCTGTGGCGGCCATTGGAGGGTGAACCAAGGGCAAAGGAAGACCTTTCTCTCTCTCTCTCTTACTGTCCACTCTGCCTGTCAAAAATAAATAAATAAATGAGTACGAATCTGGTCCTGCTCTGCACGGGGCTGGTGATGCCCGCCTGGCGGGTGACGGTCTGTAGCAGCCCGCCCCTGCCGCCCGCCGCGTGCTCCAGCAACATGTAGTTGTCCATGACACTCGGCACAAGCAAGCCGACTCGTCTCAGCACCGCAGCACCGAGGAGTAGCTATTCTTACCGCACGGCACAGAGGAGCAGAGCGGGTGATGTGGGTGGGCCCCGGCCGCTCACTCTGCCCCGTGCCTGCAGCTGCCCGAGGCCCAGCCCGAGGTGGAGGTGGAGGTGTACCGGCGGGACTCGAAGAAGCTGCCGGGCCTCGGGGACCCCGACATCGACTGGGAGGAGAGTGTGTGCTTGAACCTCATCCTGCAGAAGGTACATGGGACGGGTGGGCGCGGCTGGCGGCAGCCCCGGGACGGAGGGCCCCTCCCGCTGACCTGCGCTCCCCGGCAGCTGGACTACATGGTGACCTGCGCCGTGTGCACGCGCGCCGACGGCGGGGACATCCACGTGCACAAGAAGAAGTCGCAGGTGAGCCCTGCGCGGGAGGCCGGCTGGAGCCCGTCTCCTCCTGCTCCGCGCCCTGACTCCGGAAGTCCACGCAACGCCCGGAGCCCCTGGCCAGGGCATCCCAAACGGCCCTCGGACCCTCTCGGGCGGCCGCGTGCGAGGCGCCGCCCCCTGAGCACTTCCCCTCTGCTCTCCCCCAGCAAGTGTTTGCGTCCCCCAGCAAGCACCCCATGGACAGCAAAGGGGAGGAGTCCAAGATGAGCTACCCCAACATCTTCTTCATGATCGACAGCTTCGAGGAGGTGAGCCGCCCCCTCTTCTCCGCGTCCCCGCCTCTCCCGCAGTCTCCCGGCTCCACCGACCCCCGTGTCTGCCTGCCTGCGGGCGAGTGAGTTCACCCAGCACCGAGCCTCTGCAGGAGGAGCCGGGGCCTTGTCTCCGGCTTCGCTGTCAGGGTCGAGGATCGCACGGCCCCTCCCCGGGACTCATGCTGCCCGGCAGGGGCGTCGTAGTGACTGCCATGAGGGCCTCCCGGCTGCCGGGGCTCGGCCCCCCGGTGGCTTCAGCAGTGCTGCAGGCCAAGGCCTTGTGTCAAGGTCGGGAAACCTCACTAGGGAGGCACCGGACACCGGCCCAGCCGGGAGGGCAGCCAGGCGTCCCCCTCGCTCGTGGTGGTCCTCGGGGACCTGTGACCTCAGTGCTCAGCCCCTGGGAGCCGGCACTGGAAAGGTGGCAGGACGGGGTCATTCCCTCTGAGTCCAGGGTGGTTGTCCCAAAGCTGCCAGTCGCCTCTGGTGGCCGCGAGCCCGGCCAAGTTCAGGGCGGAGTGGGGCACCCACAGCCGCTGTGGAAGAGGCCTTAGACTGCGGGCTGACAGTCCTCGCCACCTGCCTCGCCCCTTAGCACGAGGAAGCGAGCTGAGGGCCCCGGTCTCCTGGCAGCCCGGCGCACAACCCCGTCCCAAGTGAGGCCGCCCTGGGCCGCGGGTCCCTGAGCCTGTGCCCTCGCCTGCGGGGTGAGGGTCCGGGAGCGCACCGCGGCCGGGCCAGGCCGTGGCTGACGGCTCTCTGGCCGCCCTGCCTCGCAGGTGTTCAGTGACATGACCGTGGGGGAAGGAGAGATGGTGTGCGTGGAGCTGGTGGCCAGCGACAAAACCAACACGTTCCAGGGCGTCATCTTCCAGGGCTCCATCCG